CCAGCAGCACACTCCGTCGCTCCAGGAGGCCCGTGAGTGGTATGCGCAGCGTGGGGGGGCGGGTGGCCTTAGCTGCACGTACGTCATCCGCACTGGTGACCGCGCTGGTCAGACGTGTGGGAAGCCGCACCCCACGCCGCGCTGTTTCGCGCGCCTTGACGACGCTTGGCGCACTCAGTTCCCTGACGGCAATGAGCTGCCCCGCTGGTTTGATCTGGAGAAGAAGGGTGTTGATATCTGGGCTTTAGACTTTGATGCTATTCTCACTGCCATGTATGCTATGTTTACTAGTGGAGAGGGTGCTCAGTACTTGCGTGTTCCGCCCGACCCGGGCATTCTCACCAGTGAGGCTGCTGCTCTAGGTGCTAGTGCGTCTGCAGCTCCAGGTGCTCGCGTGTCTGCCACCTCAGGTGACGGTGAGGCTGTCGCTCTAGGTGCTGCTGAGTCTGTCTCCCCTGGTACTGAGTCGACTGCGGCACTGCACACCTTCACACTGGACTCAGGTGCTTCTCGCTGTTTCTTTCGAGATCGCACTGCCCTTGAGCCACTCGCTCGGCCAGTTGCTGTCTCCCTCGCTGACCCCTCTGGGGGTCCGGTCATTGCGACCTCCTCCACTGTTCTTCCCTGTCCTGCGGTCCCGTCTGGCACACTGTCTGGTCTCTACCTCCCCTCGTTCTCTACGAACTTGGTGGCAGGTAGTGCGCTCCAGGACGGGGGTGTTCACCAGTTCACCCCTGCCTACGAGCGCGTGACACACTGCACGTGTGCTCGGACGGGCCGTCACCTGGCTACCTTCACTCGGGAGCCGGGGTCGGACCTGTACACACTGACCACTGAGTCCCCTCAGGTAGCTGCGTCTGCGTCTGCGTCAGGTCAGCTGTCCGCCCCCTGCTCGTGTCGCTCTCTGGGGCATGAGACTGTCCTCTGGCACCACCGCCTTGGTCACCCGTCTGTGCAGCGCCTTCGGGCCATGCACAAACGGGACCTTGTTGCTGGTCTTCCCAGGGTTCTCCCTCCCCTCCCACCCTCGCCTGCTCCTCCCTGTCTTCCCTGTGTCGAGGGGCGGCAGCGCGCCGCTCCTCACTCCTCCTACTTTCCCCTGACGACTGCTCCCTTGCAGACGCTCCACATGGACGTGTGGGGCCCAGCCCGCGTCCGTGGACAGGGTCAGGAGAGGTACTTCCTGATTGTTGTTGACGACTTCTCGCGCTACACCACGGTCTTCCCCTTGCGCGCCAAGGGTGACGTCCCTGATGTCTTGATCCCTTGGATCCGCAGATCTCGTCTCCAGCTCAGCAAGCGTTTCCACTCCGACTTTCCTGTCCTGCGTCTGCACTCTGACAGAGGTGGGGAGTTTTCCTCCGGCCTCTTGGAGGCCTTCTGTCAGCAGGAGGGCATTGAGCAGTCGTTCACGCTTCCGGCCTCTCCACAGCAGAATGGGGTTGCTGAGCGCCGCATTAGCTTGGTCATGGAGGTCGCTCGTACCTCCTTGGTTCATGCGGCTGCCCCCCATTTTCTATGGCCGTTTGCAGTCCGATACGCTGCGCATCAGCTCAACCTCTGGCCCCGAGTCTCCCTCCCGGAGACTTCTCCGACCCTGCGTTGGACGGGAGAGGCTGGCGATGCGTCGCGTTTTCGGGTCTGGGGATCCCGAGCTTTTGTCCGTGACACGTCCGCGGACAAGCTCTCCCGTCGCGCTGTCCCCTGTGTCTTCCTTGGCTTTGTCCCGGACGCCCCTGGTTGGCAGTTCTACCACGCCACCTCGCGTCGTGTCCTGGCCTCTCAGGACGTCACTTTTGACGAGTCCGTCCCCTACTACCGCCTCTTCCCCTACCGCACTGCCCCGCTCCCCCCCCCCGCCTCTCTTCCTCGCTCCAGGTGCTGAGGTACCAGACCCCCTCCCCCCTCAGGGTGCCGCTCCCTCAGGTGTGTCCCAGGTAGACCCGGGTGAGCCTGTCGAGGTAGCTGTCGACTCTCGTCCTGCTAGGGGTGCTGAGCCTGGGGGTGCTGAGCCTGGGGGTGCTGTGTCTGGGGGTGCTGAGCCTGGGAGTACTGAGTCTGGAGGTGCGGAGTCTGGGGGTGCTGAGCCTGGAGGTGCGGAGCCTGGAGGTGCTGAGCCTGGAGGTGCGGAGCCTGGAGGTGCGGAGCCTGGGGGTGCTGAGTCTGGGGGTGCTGGGTCTGGGGTTGCTGACCCTGAGCGTGCTACACCTGGAGGACCCCTCTCCTCCCCACAGCTGCAGGAGAGGTACCTACAGTACTGCCGCCTCCGGAGAGGTGCTACTGGAGCTCGTCCCGGTACTTCCCCTCCTGCCCAGGAGCTCCCCCCCATTCAGCAGATCCGAGAGTGGTACACGCGACGCTGCAGTCTTCGGAGTGGTGCTCCTGGTGCTGCGGACCCTGGACGCACCCTCTTACGCTGAGGCGATGGCGGGTCCCTACTCCTCTCAGTGGCACACAGCCATGGACGCAGAGATGGCTTCCTGGAAGTCCACAGGCACCTACGTCGACGAGGTTCCCCCACCTGGGGCGAACATCGTTAGTGGCATGTGGATTTTCAGGGTGAAGCGGCCACCGGGTTCTCCTCCTGTCTTCAAGGCGCGCTACGTGGCTCGAGGCTTCAGTCAGCGAGAGGGAGTTGACTTCTTTCAGACCTTCTCCCCCACCCCGAAGATGACCACTCTTCGGGTGCTGCTGCACATAGCCGCTTAGCGCGACTACGAGCTTCACTCACTTGACTTCAGCACTGCTTTCTTGCAGGGCAGCCTACACGAGGAGATCTGGCTGCGCCGCCCTCCTGGCTTCACTGGGTCGGTTCCTCCTGGTACCCAGTGGAGGCTCCAGCGGCCGGTCTACGGTCTCCGCCAGGCACCGCGTGAGTGGCACGACACACTGAGGACGACACTTGCGGCTCTTGGGTTCGCTCCCTCTACTGCTGACCCGTCACTGTTTCTACGCACAGACACCTCACTGCCGCCGTTCTACATTCTCGTGTACGTCGACGACTTGGTCTTTGCCACTGCTGACACCGCGGCACTCGCCCACGTGAAGTCGGAGCTGCAGAGGAGACACACGTGCACAGACCTGGGTGAACTGACAAACTATCTTGGCTTGCGGATCACCCGGGACAGAGCACGGCGCACCATCACCTTGACTCAGTCACACATGGTGCAGCAGATCCTTCAGCGCTTCTGCTTCACGTACTCCTCGCCTCAGTCCACTCCTCTGCCTACCGGTCACTCGCTCTCAGCTCTGCCTTCGGATGAGTCCGTAGAGCCGAGTGGTCCGTATCCAGAGCTTGTGGGCTGCCTCATGTACCTGATGACCTGCACTCGACCTGACCTTGCATACCCTCTTAGCATCCTTGCACGCTATGTCGCTCCTGGCCGTCACAGGAAGGAGCACATGGATGCCGCTAAGAGGGTGTTGCGCTACTTGTGCAGTACGTCGGGCATGGGGCTAGTGCTTGGAGGGCGAGACCGAGTTGTACTTACTGGTCACTCAGACGCTTCTTGGGCGGACGACCAGGCTACTCAGCGGTCGTCTCAGAGTTACACCTTCAGCCTTGGCTCCGGCTCAGTTTCTTGGCGTTCTACACGCTCTTCTTCTGTTCTCAGCTCCAGTTGTGAGGCTGAGATCTACGCCACAGCCATGGCTGCCCAGGAGCTACGCTGGCTGACCTACCTGCTGACCGACTTGGGAGAGCGGCCTCGTTCTCCTCCAGTGCTGTACGTCGACAACAAGGCTGCCATTGCCTTGTGTGAGGAGCACAGACTGGAGCACAGAACGAAGCACATCGCCCTGCGGTACTTCCTTGCTCGAGAGCTGCAGCAGCGCGGTCAGCTTTGTCTGCGTTACGTGGCCACTGAGGCCAACCTTGCTGATGTGTTCACCAAGGCGCTTCAGCCTTGTGACCATCAGCGCTTCTGCACTCTGCTAGGCCTTGTGCCTACTGGACCTCACTTGCTTACTTCTTGACCCTGCTTGTACTGTGATCACTATATATATATATATACCTGCATGTTTACTCTTGCTAGGTTGTGATCACTGTATCTCTTGTTTTGTTATAAACCTGCATGTGAACTGGCCTTGTGGCCACCTGCTTGTGCTCAGACTGTGTGGTGTCCTTGAGATCCACCCTGAGCTTTGTCTTGCTTGCTTTTATGCTTGACTGGTCTTGTGACCACTGTTAGGTTTGGCTATCCCCCCTACTTCACCTATGGGGGTGTGTCAAATTATATGTTTCATATTATTTAGTTCTAGGTTGTGTAGGGGTGATTCTTAGAGGGTACAACAATTCTCTCGATACTCTTGTACCCCCTCCCCTAACCTAATCGACATACTTTCCTCTCTAGTCTTGACATTTCTCTGTGTAACGGGACGCGACGTTCGTGTGAGCCGCTCATTCATGTCGTTATCCCCTCCCCTTCCCGTTCACATCCCATCATTCACCCTTCAGCCACCACTTGTCCTGATGTGGTCGACATGCTGCCAGCTCCCCTCTGGCACCAAATCTTCCACGGCCTCCTACGGTCAACCCCCCAAGTGGACAAGCCCGAAGGCCCCAGAGGCCTTCGGTTCCGCTCGGAGGAGCAGTCAGACGAGGGAGAACAGCCCGACGCTCAATCGGAGTTCATGAAAATGTTCACTCATGGTGATTCGTCCGCCAGCGACCATCATCGATTCAATGCCGACAGCTATGGCCCCTCCTGGCCTCTGCTCTGCTGCGCTCTCGCCAGCAAGAGGCTTCTCCAACATGTCCTCTCCTTCGCTGTGAGTCCTGTGCTTTCATCAAGCGCCTCAAGCCACCATGTCCTCTCCTTCGCTTTGAGACCTCTGCTCTTATTGCCCTCGTTCTCGTGTCAGTTTATTTTGTTCTTTGTATCTGCCCAAATTCGTTCCCAATCAATGCAGCTATTCCTAAAAAGGAATTGAAGGTAACAAGAACCAAAGACTTTCTCCATGTGTCCATGCTTCAACCGACAGAAATGAAGAACTTGAGCATGCAACAACTGTCACCAACGATCTTAAACACACCAACCAGTTTCCTTGATCCCCATTATGTGCAGGAGGGGCAGCCCATCTCGCTTACGTACAAAGACGAGCGCTGGCAGAAGACCATTCGCTACTTCCTCACCCGCCACGGCCAGCACATCACCTCTCTCAACCTCTTCTTCACAGACATCCAGCAGCTCCCCTCCCTCCATCCCTTGATCGCTTGCTGCAGCCCCGCCCTCTCCTCCTTCAGCATCAAGCTGCGAGGCTTCGTGGACGGGTACGAGGAGCAGGAGTACAATGACTGGACGCTTGATTTCCTCAAGGGCTGTTCGCACCTGCAGCACCTGAAGCTGGGCCGGGGCATGTGGAATCTTGACGAGAGCTGTGCGAATGCGGCATGGGTGAGGTCCCTCCGCTGCCTGACCCTCAAGCACCTGGATAGAAGATATCGGAACTATGATTTTCTCGAGTCCATCACGCCTCAGCTGCACGAGTTCACTCTCTACCAGCACTGGCACCTCTCCCGCGGGCCCATGTTTGGCTCCCACGTTATGGAATTCAACTTCTCCAATGCCCGCCTCCTCCCGCTTCCGCTTTGCCAGCAACGAGCTCAAGCTCAAGCTCACTGTGCCGCCCTCACTAAAGAGCCTATCGGTGATGGCCAAGTGGCTCGTGCTTTCGTGCAAAAGCACTGCCCCTCTCGCTCTCGACCACCTCTTGCTGTACGGCCAGGAGCGCCTCGTCATCTCCTCTCTCCGCATCGCATCCGCACGAGCCGTGTACCTCTATGGGCCCGCCAGTGACGAGGACTCTAGCTGCCCTGGGCTCTCCTACCAGCTGCCTCTCGAATGGCAGCACGTTCCCCGCGGCATTTCTGGCTTTTCCTGGACCAAATGGCTGCGCACTATAGCGCAAAACGTGGAGGTGCTTGTAGTGAGGCACGGGATACCGATCGAGGAGGTCGATTTGGAGTGGAGGAGCCTTCGCAGCCTTGGGATTGTCGTGCACGTGGAAGGCCCGCACAACAAAGAGTGGGAGGCGACTGTTGAGAACTACAGGGCGTTCATGGAGGACGGAGATTATGAGGATGAACTGGATGAGTGTAGCTTTGGTTATAATGATGAGTTTGATGATGACGAGGCTCGTATCAATCTTCCCTCCATCCGCGCTCCGAATCTTCAGTTCCTCTTCTTTCCTTCTCGCAAGGCGTGTGACGCCGCCACACTGGCTGCACTGCGGCAGGACTACCCCGCCCTGGCGCTCTACTGTGTGGTGGACCGCTCCTTCTACTGGGAGAGGAAGGGTCAGTCGGTGAGCCATGGGCCACTCGAGCATGTGCGGCAGGCGAAGAGTGGGGTGCTACGGCATAGGTTTGATGAGAAGAAGCCGAAGAATGTGAGAGAAAAAATGTATAGCGTAAATAGGAAGCTGGTGGAGGGGTACAGTGTTGAGGAAGATGAGGCGCACATGTTCAAGTACAAAGGGCGGTTCTAGGAGATGCATAATAGGGTAGGGTTGTCAAGTCAATGTTGGAATGCTGACTTGACTTGACTTAAAGCCCGCGTCCCAAATTGCGGAGCGCGAGAGTAAAGTTTTTAAAACTTGACGAAGTTGAGTGTCCAAGCTTTTGAAAGTCACGCACCTGCAATTTGGGACTTCTGAAGTCAGATTCACTCACCAGGGGGAAAATCGGGGGTTTGGCTGTGTCTCACGAAAAAAACAAACCCAGACGAAATTTGAAACCTTCGCCAAAGCCCACACAAAAAAAACTCCCTCTTGTCAACTTTTAAAAGCATGAACAATTTGGGCCGCCGGCTTTAAGCTCTTGGTAAAATACGGTATATATGCAGTTGCACATGCCGCTTGATTTGTCAATGACAAGGCTTTAGCATTGTGCTGATGAACTCAGTGAACTGTGTATTTAGTTTAGATTATGGTTGAGCAGATACTAGTTCTCGCCAAGAATAGTCAATAGCGGGAATGCAGTCCCCACACTAAGCGATTCTGCCTCCTTCAGTGAAGTTCTTCCTGCAACCCAGCGCGTAATGCGGTAGTCGCGTCGTCAAGGTACAGTAGCAATTTCACCCGATTTTAAGGAGATTTCTTGTCGTGCGGACGGCTCTCATCATGCTCGCCTCCGTCGCTCCAAGCGCGCCAACGTCGTTGAGCGCTCTCCCCTCGTCGTCAATCTCACCGTCACCGTCTCCGTCAACGTCTCGTTCAGCTGCATTGACAACACGCACAGCTAGCAAACGCAGACAGGGAGGGCCATCCAGGCTCCTTTCTCCGTCTCCGTCCTGTTCGGCGTTATCGTTATCGTTATCGTTACCGTCACCATTTCCCAAAACCACCCTTCTCCGTTACACCCAGCAATCCGCGCCTCGACCCCCTTGCACCCCTCACCACCTCTCCGAAAACTCTTGTTTTTCCACCAGCCGCATTGTTAGAGTCTCCGCATTTCCCGCCGCCGTCCCCGCATCCCTCATGTCTCGAAAAATCACCGCCACCGCTTTGAGATCCCCACCTGGTGCCTCCGCCGCGTCTGGCGCCGCATCTGCCGCCGCAACTGGCGCGGTACCCGGCGGCGCAGTTGCCGCGCGATCCGCCGCCGGCAGCGCGACAGCCAATCCGGGGCTGCGGAGCGGCAGAGGCGGCAGGGGGAGGGCGGTGGCGGCTCGCGCGAGTGGCGGCGGTGGGGCGGGCGGGGGGGAATCAGAGGCAGTGGGGGGAACGGGGGGAGGCATGGTGCTGGCGGCCGTGCTGGTCGCGTGCATCGGCGCATTCGCGTTCGGTTACCACATCAGGTTCGTCGCGCGATGGCTGTTACACTGCATGTGTACATCGTAGCGATGGTGTCACAGGCAGCACAATGCGATGATGGGGTAGCGACACAACAGGTGTAGCTTGTGGCGCCCGTGGCACCACCGTAGTCATGCAGTGTGACAAATCTGGGCCGCCGCGCTTTCTGTTTCCTGCCTGCCCTTGTTCTTCCGTCCACTCTGCTGCATTCCAGACCAGGCCAGAACCATCTTTACCTCACATGTGTGTCACCTCCACAACCTATTTTTGAATCGACTAAAAAACAACCTATATTTGAGTCGACTCAAAAATAGGTTTTTCCGTCCACTCTGCTGCATTCCAGATCAGAACCGTCTTTGCCTCACATGTGTGTCACCTCTACAACCGATGAAATATCCGCGGTTCACCTTCCATGCACGTTCCCTCCCACCCCCTCACTTTCCCGCGCATGCGTGGCAGTGTGGTGAACAGACCGTTGGATAACATCTTACTCACCATTGGCGCCCCGGGCAGCACTTTTCACGGCTCTTTCTGAGACGCCAAAAAAACCATTCCCTCCTCTCTCCCTCCTCTCATGCACGGCATGGCAGTGTGGTGAACGGGCCCTTGGATCACATCCTCGTCAGCATCGGCACACCTGGCAACTCCCTTGTTGGAGGTACGCCTGCCATTTCCCTGCGCCTCGTGCTGCCTCACTGTCTGTTGCCTCTCCTGGTCATCCCTTCACTCCACCTGCCTGCCCCCTCTCCTCACGCGCCTTCTCTTGCTGTGTTGCTGCTGCTTTATCCCCCCCCCCCGCCGCACAGCACCACCAGCATCACTAATCCGTCTCCCTTTCTCACCATCCCCCGTACTCGACTCCGCATCTCTCATCGTCCACCGTTCCCCCCTTCCCGTTCACCTGCAAGGCATTGGACCTTTGTATTAGGACTATGTGCTAGGAACAAGGTTCATCGTGGAGTAGCTGCCAACCTGTAGAAATCTCTTAAGCAAAAGGATCAAGACTGTAAAACTGAATCCCAGAAAATTCAAGAAAGATCTCACAACCTGCAAGGCATTGGACCTTTGTAGTTGGACTATGTGCGTGGGACTATGTGCGTGGGACTACGCGGAATTGCAAAAGCATATACGACCCGCGTCCGCGTGGGATCTGACCCTTTTCCTACCGATTTTTTTGCAGCTGACGGCGTACAGTAGCCTGGCGGCTCCCTCACTGCCCTGCCCACTCACTGCAGATCTTCCCATGCACTTGCTCCTTATTTCTTTGACCTCTCGCCTCACAGCAGTAACAGATCCACTTAACCCGCACACAGTTACTCGCCTCCCCATGCTTCATCGACCCCTCTGCCCTCCCACCCACCACCCATTCCCCCACCAGGCTGGGTGGTGAGTGCATCGCTGCTCACAGCAGCGTGTGGAGCGCTCTCAGCCGGCTGGTTGGCGGACTCACAGCAGCAAAGAAACTTCTCAGCCCTCACAGCCCTCACTCGCCTCCCCTTGTCACATCCTCTTCCTCCCCCCCCCTCACCCCCCGGTTCCCCCCCCAGGCTGGGTGGTGAGTGCATTGCTGCTCACAGCAGCATGTGGAGCCCTATCACCCGGTTGGCTGGCTAGTGTGTTCCCAGCAGAAACAGACCCCCTTACCTCTCACACTGCTATTCGTCTCCCCTCATACCCCTCCCCCCACCCATTCCCCCCCAGGCTGGGTGGTGAGTGCATCGCTGCTCACAGCAGCGTGTGGAGCGCTCTCAGCCGGCTGGTTGGCGGACTCTGTGGGCCGCCGAACCACCTTCCTGCTGCTCGCGCTGCCCCTCGCGCTCGGGAGTGCTCTCAGGTGAATCCCTCGCGCTGCCCCTTGCGCTCGGGAGTGCTCTCAGGTGAATCCCTCGCGCTGCCCCTCGCGCTCGGGAGTGCACTCAGGTGAATCCCTCGCGCTGCCCCTCGCGCTCGGGAGTGCACTCAGGTGAATCCCTCGCGCTGCCCCTCGCGCTCGGGAGTGCACTCAGGTGAATCCCTCGCGCTGCCCCTCGCGCTCGGGAGTGCTCTCAGGTGAATCCCTCGCGCTGCCCCTCGCGCTCGGGAGTGCACTCAGGTGAATCCCTCGCGCTGCCCCTCGCGCTCGGGAGTGCACTCAGGTGAATCCCTCGCGCTGCCCCTCGCGCTCGGGAGTGCACTCAGGTGAATCCCTCGCGCTGCCCCTCGCGCTCGGGAGTGCACTCAGGTGAATCCCTCGCGCTGCCCCTTGCGCTCGGGAGTGCTCTCAGGTGAATCCCTCGCGCTGCCCCTCGCGCTCGGGAGTGCTCTCAGGTGAATCCCTCGCGCTGCCCCTCGCGCTCGGGAGTGCACTCAGGTGAATCCCTCGCGCTGCCCCTCGCGCTCGGGAGTGCTCTCAGGTGAATCCCTCGCGCTGCCCCTCGCGCTCGGGAGTGCACTCAGGTGAATCCCTCGCGCTGCCCCTCGCGCTCGGGAGTGCTCTCAGGTGAATCCCTCGCGCTGCCCCTCGCGCTCGGGAGTGCACTCAGGTGAATCCCTCGCGCTGCCCCTCGCGCTCGGGAGTGCACTCAGGTGAATCCCTCGCGCTGCCCCTCGCGCTCGGGAGTGCACTCAGGTGAATCCCTCGCGCTGCCCCTCGCGCTCGGGAGTGCACTCAGGTGAATCCCTCGCGCTGCCCCTTGCGCTCGGGAGTGCTCTCAGGTGAATCCCTCGCGCTGCCCCTCGCGCTCGGGAGTGCTCTCAGGTGAATCCCTCGCGCTGCCCCTCGCGCTCGGGAGTGCACTCAGGTGAATCCCTCGCGCTGCCCCTCGCGCTCGGGAGTGCTCTCAGGTGAATCCCTCGCGCTGCCCCTCGCGCTCGGGAGTGCTCTCAGGTGAATCCCTCGCGCTGCCCCTCGCGCTCGGGAGTGCACTCAGGTGAATCCCTCGCGCTGCCCCTCGCGCTCGGGAGTGCTCTCAGGTGAATCCCTCGCGCTGCCCCTCGCGCTCGGGAGTGCACTCAGGTGAATCCCTCGCGCTGCCCCTCGCGCTCGGGAGTGCTCTCAGGTGAATCCCTCGCGCTGCCCCTCGCGCTCGGGAGTGCTCTCAGGTGAATCCCTCGCGCTGCCCCTCGCGCTCGGGAGTGCTCTCAGGTGAATCCCTCGCGCTGCCCCTCGCGCTCGGGAGTGCACTCAGGTGAATCCCTCGCGCTGCCCCTCGCGCTCGGGAGTGCACTCAGGTGAATCCCTCGCGCTGCCCCTCGCGCTCGGGAGTGCACTCAGGTGAATCCCTCGCGCTGCCCCTCGCGCTCGGGAGTGCACTCAGGTGAATCCCTCGCGCTGCCCCTCGCGCTCGGGAGTGCACTCAGGTGAATCCCTCGCGCTGCCCCTCGCGCTCGGGAGTGCTCTCAGGTGAATCCCTCTTGCTGCCTCGCAGCTGAAGGGCCTTAGCGCCCGTTGCCCCATGGCCCATTAACCCTTCTTGCTGCCTCCCTTGGCCCCACCCTGACCTATGACTCTACTCAACCGCCACCCCTCTCTCCTCGGCCCGCCCTGCTCCTTCCCCTGCACCACCCGTGCCTAATGTGCACGTGCTCTTTTCCCACGCATTTTCCGACACGCGGCAGAGTTCTTCTTTCATTATGCCTACCCCACGTCTCACACCCCTTCCGCCCTCTCTCCCCCTCCTCGTTTCCTGCCAGTGCCACAGCCTCATCGGTCCCACAGATGCTGGTGGGGCGCGCGCTCACAGGGCTGGCCTTTGGCGTCATCTCCTGTGTCGTGCCCGTCTACATCTCCGAGGTATGTGTGTATGTTTCCCGCCCCTTTGCCTCTTTGTGCGTCTCTTGACACGTCTCAAAAGTCGCTCACAGGGCTGGCCTTTGGCGTTATCTCCTGTGTTGTGCCCGTCTACATCTCAGAGGCATGTGCCTCTCTGCCCCCCTGGCTGCCCGCGACCCCCCCTGTCCGTCGGTGTGTCTGTCGCTCTGCCTATGCCTGTGCACTCACAGGGCTGGCCTTTGGCGTCATCTCCTGTGTTGTCCCCGTCTACATCTCCGAGGCATGTGCCTCCCTCCCCCTCTCCATCTCCTTGCCCCTCTCTCCGTCTGTCCATCTGTCATCTCGTCCGTCCATCTGATGCCACACGTGCTTTAAGGTGCCTGCAACCTTCTACTCCCAAACCTCCCAGTCCTTCCAATCCTCCTTCTCATTCCTTTCCCACATGCCCACCATACCCCCCATGCATCAGATAGCGCCAGCATCAGTGCGGGGTCGACTGGGCTCTCTCAACCAGCTGGCCATTTGTGTCGGCATCCTCGCTGCTCTGCTCGCGGGGCTGCCCCTTGCTGCCAACCCCGCCTGGTACACCTCTTGCACTGCGCTGCACTTTCTAAGGCTGTTCGCCTTCCACTTCCTTCCCCATGCCATACGATGGAAGCCTTTTCAGCCTGCAGTTGTGACGAAAGTTGATGCTCAAACCAGCTTCCGCCAACTTTCTCATAAGGGTTGGCAGCAAGCAAGCAATCAAGCAAGCAAGCAAGCAAGCAAGCAAGCAAGCAAGCAATCAAGCAAGCAAGCAAGCAAACACTGTATGAACACAATTTCTCAAGCATTAGTGGCATCCTCGTGAAGTCATGGCACGCATTTGAACGGTCTTGACTCGGGCCAATAGCCTCCCCACGGATGTGGGGACCTGCCCCTTGGTTCTCGCCTATCCTTTTCAGTCGACTCAAAAGTCAACCCTGTATGTTAACCTTTTCTTGTCTGTCCCTTCGCGTCCCTCCTGCTTCCATTTCCTCTCCCGCGTCTCCGCCAATCAGGTGGCGGCAGATGTTTTGGATTGGAGTGGCACCAGTGGCCACCCTGGCTGCTGGCATGCTGTGGGCGCCTGAGAGCCCCAGATGGCTCGCCAAGGTGCGGTGGGATGCATGGGAATGGCATGGCATGGGGTGGCATGGCATGGGGTGGCATGGCATGGGGTGGCATGGCATGGGGTGGCATGGCATGGGGTGGTCGTATTTGCTTATTTGTGCTGCAGGCATGCTGTGGGCGCCTGAGAGCCCCAGATGGCTCGCCAAGGTGCGGTGGGATGCATGGGAATGGCATGGCATGGGGTGGCATGGCATGGGGTGGCATGGCATGGGGTGGTCGTATTTGCTTATTTGTGCTGCTGGCATGCTGTGGGCGCCTGAGAGCCCCAGATGGCTCGCCAAGGTGCGGTGGGATGCATGGGAATGGCATGGCATGGGGTGGCATGACATGGGGTGGCATGGCATGGGGTGGCATGGCATGGGGTGGCATGGCATGGGGTGGTCGTATTTGCTTATTTGTGCTGCAGGCATGCTGTGGGCGCCTGAGAGCCCCAGATGGCTCGCCAAGGTGCGGTGGGATGCATGGGAATGGCATGGCATGGGGTGGCATGGCATGGGGTGGCATGGCATGGGGTGGCATGGCATGGGGTGGCATGGCATGGGGTGGCATGGCATGGGGTGGTCGTATTTGCTTATTTGTGCTGCTGGCATGCTGTGGGCGCCTGAGAGCCCCAGATGGCTCGCCAAGGTGCGGTGGGATGCATGGGAATGGCATGGCATGGGGTGGCATGGCATGGGGTGGCATGGCATGGGGTGGCATGGCATGGGGTGGTCGTATTTGCTTATTTGTGCTGCTGGCATGCTGTGGGCGCCTGAGAGCCCCAGATGGCTCGCCAAGGTGCGGTGGGATGCATGGGAATGGCATGGCATGGGGTGGCATGGCATGGGGTGGCATGGCATGGGGTGGCATGGCATGGGGTGGTCGTATTTGCTTATTTGTGCTGCTGGCATGCTGTGGGCGCCTGAGAGCCCCAGATGGCTCGCCAAGGTGCGGTGGGATGCATGCGAATGGCATGGCATGGGGTGGCATGGCATGGGGTGGCATGGCATGGGGTGGCATGGCATGGGGTGGCATGGCATGGGGTGGCATGGCATGGGGTGGTCGTATTTGCTTATTTGTGCTGCTGGCATGCTGTGGGCGCCTGAGAGCCCTAGATGAGTGCATGGCTGGCAAATGTGTTATGAGTGCATGGCTGGCAAATGTGGGATGAGTGCATGGCTGGCAAATGTGTTATGAGTGCATGGCTGGCAAATGTGGGATGAGTGCATGGCTGGCAAATGTGTTATGAGTGCATGGCTGGCAAATGTGTTATGAGTGCATGGCTGGCAAATGTGGGATGAGTGCATGGCTGGCAAATGTGTTATGAGTGCATGGCTGGCAAATGTGGGATGAGTGCATGGCTGGCAAATGTGTTATGAGTGCATGGCTGGCAAATGTGTTATGAGTGCATGGCTGGCAAATGTGGGATGAGTGCATGGCTGGCAAATGTGTTATGAGTGCATGGCTGGCAAATGTGGGATGAGTGCATGGCTGGCAAATGTGTTATGAGTGCATGGCTGGCAAATGTGGGATGAGTGCATGGCTGGCAAATGTATTATGAGTGCATGGCTGGCAAATGTGTTATGAGTGCATGGCTGGCAAATGTGGGATGAGTGCATGGCTGGCAAATGTGTTATGAGTGCATGGCTGGCAAATGTGGGATGAGTGCATGGCATGTTGTGCGATGAGATGGGTGGGTGTATGGCATGGTGTGGGGCCATATAACACGTGTTTGTTTGAGTGGGCTGCTGGCATCTTTTGGGGCCAAGAGAACCAAGATCCTTTGAACCCCAGATGGCTTGCCAAGGTGGAATGAGTTGGTTGCCATCTGGGTTTTTGGATAGCCTCACATGACGTGGGTGGGCGCGCGAGAGCCTTTGAGTCGACTCAAAAGCATGCTTGCCAAGGTGGAATGAGTTGGTTGGTGGGCTAGCATGCGTGCCATGGTGTGAGTTTTTGAAAAGCTCATATGGCTTGCTAAGGTGCGGTGCGTGCATGGCATGGTGTGTGGTACGCGCATGGCATGGTGTGCAGTGCGTGCATGGTGTGGTGTGCGGTGCATACATGGTGTGGTGTGCGGTGCATGCATGGTGTGGTGTGTGGTGGGTGTGTTGGTGCCATGGGGTGGGGGGTGGACATGACATGGGTGGGCGCGTGAGAGCCTTTGAGTCGACTCAGAAGCAGAGCCCAGACGGTGAGTTAAGGTGGCATGCTTGCATGTGCGAGTCACTTTGGTGGCATGGTTGGTTGGATGTGATCTGGAGTGGCAGGGGCAATTGAAATCCTGGATGCTGGGATGTCGGGGTGCTGGGATGTCGGGGTGCTGGGATGTCGGGGTGCTGGGATGCTGGGGTGCTGGGATGCTGGGGTGCTGGGATGCTGGGATGCCGGGATGCTGGGATGCCGGGATGCCGGGGTGCTGGGATGCTGGGATGCTGGGATGCTGGGATGCCATACCATGCCAGCAGCCAGCAGCGATGAATGGTTTTCATTGTGGCTCGCCCGTCACTTCCCTTTTCCCTTCTCTGCTGAGTTCCTTCCTTCCTTCCTCTCCTTCCGCCTCTTCTCTCCTACAATACACCCACCCACCCCCCCTTCCCCCAACTCTCTCCTCAGGTGGGCAGGAGCGACGAGGCAGGGAGGCAGCTCAAGCGCCTGCTGGGTCCGTCCCAGGCTGCAGCAGCTGCAGCAGAGCTCTCCTCCTCCTCCTCGTCCTCCGCGCCTCAACCTGCTGCCTCTGCCAAGGGAGCAGGAGGAGCAGCAGCAGTGGATGGGTTGGAACAGGCAGAGGCGGGTGTGGCGAGGAAACGAGCGGACGAAGCACCTGCTGTGTCCTTCTTCACACTCTTCTCCAAGCGCTACCGCAAAGGTACGGGTGGGGCTGCCAAGGCAGCAGTTGCAGGTACAGCAGTGGATGGGTTATATGCGTTTTTTGAGAATTCTAAAAATATGCTCACGAGGCAAAGGCTGGTATGGCAAGGAAACGAGCGGACGAAGCAACCTCAGCGTCGCTGCTCACTCTCTTTTCCAAGCGCTACCGCAAAGGTGAGCTGCCAAGGGGGCAGCAGCAGGTGCAGCAGCAGTGGATGGGTTGGAGGACTTCAACATTGTTCACCCTTTTCTCCAAGTGCTACCTTAAAGGGAGTGCTGCAGTCAGTTACAAGGCGACCGCTTTTGAACAGGTACTTGTACAAGCACAGCACACCACTGCTGTCCCATGCCCTGCCATCGCTGGCCACTGCTTTTAACTGCTCTGAATGGCTATGATTATCCTTGTTGTGGATCTCCAGCAACTTTGTGACTCTCCCTTCCCAACCCTTCACACTCTTCCCAATCCTTCACTTCTTTCCTAACCCTCCCCCACACCCCCTTCCTCCCACCCCCTCGCTCTCCTGTCTCCTGTTCCTCCTCCCTTCCCACCCCCCCAGGCTGCTGGGAATGGCGCTGTTCGCAGTGCAGCAGTTGGCGGACATCAACGCCATCATCTACTACTCCTCCTCTGCCTAGTTCCCCCCACAACCCCTTACCCCCACCACCCTGCTCCTCTGTCTGACCTCCTGTCTCCTGTTCCTCCTCCCTCCTCCTCTCCCCAGTGGTGCTGCTGGGAATGGCGCTGTTCGCAGTGCAGCAGTTTGCGGGCATCAACGCCATCATCTACTATTCCTCCTCTGTCTTCCACCCACCCCCTCCCCCCCCTACTCTCTGGTCTCCTCCCCTGCCCTCTGTTCCCCTCGCTCCCTCCGCCTTCCTGCTTCCAACCCCCCAGTGGTGTTGCTGGGAATGGCGCTGTTCGCAGTGCAGCAGTTCGCAGGCATCAACGCCATCATCTACTATTCCTCCTCTGTCTTCCGCTCTGCCGGCATTCAGTCCGACGTCGCTGCCAGCGCCCTCGTCGGCCTTGCTAATGTGCTAGGTGTGTTGACATGGCATGGCATGTTGACATGACATGCATGGTGCATGACGCATAGCACAGTGGGTGAGAGCCATGGCATGGCATGTTGACATGACATGCCTGGTGCATGGCACATAACACATGGCAAAGTGAGCATCATGGTGTGGCACTGCCGGCATTCAATCCGACGTCGCTGCCAGCGCCCTCGTGGGCCTTGCGAACGTGCTAGGTAGGTGGGGAGACTTTCTACGTATGGGGCTAGATACCCTTCAGGCCATGTTCCGCTGCGAGCAGGCTGGATGCATCGCGAGTCTGACGTCGCTGCCAGCGCCCTCGTGGGCCTTGCGAACGTGCTAGGTACGCTGAGATGGCGTGGTGGAATGATGACATACATGGTGCATGGCACGTGCCGCAGAGCACAGTGGCGTGGCATGTTGGCATGACATGCCTGGTGCATGCATGCATGGCACATGACATGCCTGGTGCATGCATGCATGGCACATGACATGCCTGGTGCATGCATGCATGCATGCATGGCACATGATACACAACACAGTGAGCACCATGGTGTGGCACTGCCAGCATCCAGTCCCGTTGCGCCGCCAGCGCCCTCATGGGCCTTGCTAACGTGCTAGGTGTGCTGATACGGCATTGTAGATTGATAGGGCATGCTAGCGAGAGGGATAGGTACCTGCAAGGCATCGCGCTTGCACAGTTGGCACGAAGTCACTGTACCGCAGATCACGAAGTCACTGTACCGCAAATCACGAAGTCACTGTACCGCAAATCGCGAAGTCACTGTACCGCAAATCACGAAGTCACTGTACCGCAAATCACGAAGTCACTGTACCGCAAATCACGAAGTCACTGTACCGCAAATCACGAAGTCACTGTACCGCAAATCACGAAGTCACTGTACCGCAAATCACGAAGTCACTGTACCGCAAATCACGGCACAGTAGGGCTGCAAGAGCCCTTCTCATGGGGTCCTCTCCCTCTTCCTCTCCCTCTCCCCCTGCGCACCACCCGTCTCTCCCGCCCTGCCCATCCATCCCATCACCAACCATCCCACCATCCATCCATGCCACCATCCCACCAACAGGCACGGCAGTGTCGCTGAACCTGGTGGACAAGCAGGGCCGCAAGAGCCTTCTCATGGGGTCCTTCACTGGCATGGTAGGGCGCGGTGCTGGGTGGTGGGGCATGGTAGGCCGCGGTAATGGGTGGTGGAGCATGGTAGGCCGCGGTGGTGGGTGGTGTGGGGCACAGTAAGGGCACTGTGGTGGGTGCTGGGGCATGTGTGATGGCAGGTAGTATGGTTTGGTATTGTTGCATGGTGACATGCGTGTATGGTGTCATGCACAATGGCATGGCACCTTAATGTTGTATAATGTCGCGGCATGGCTGGCTGACATTGCATAGCATATCAATGCGACCAGTTTTGAGGCGCCTCCATCCATACTTGGCTGGCTGGCTGGCGTTGCGTTGCATATCATGTCAATGCTCACTCTCTCTCGACCGAATGTTGCGCCCGTTTTCTCTTTAACTGACACCAATCTCATTCCAGTGCTTACACCTGTGTGCCACTGGGATGAGCAATTCCTAGTGCTTACACTGCTCATCCCTTCTCGCCTCCCATTCCTCCCTACCTCTCCAACCCACCTCTCCAGATCTCTGCAACCCCCTTTCCGCTCCATTGCTCCAGATCTCATCCTTTTTCTCCCCTTCCCCCTCCCATTCCTCCCCCCCAATTCAACCAGGGCTGTTCGATGCTCCTTCTAGCCCTCACCCTCTCCTTCCCGCCACTCCAGCCAATAGCAGCACCACTCTCTGTGCTGGGAACAGTGGCCTACGTGCTCGCCTTCGCCATGGGAGCCGGACCCGTGCCGGCCCTGCTCCTCCCGGAGATCTTCCCCTCCAACATCCGCGCCTCAGCTGTCGCAGCCGCGCTCACCACACACTGGCTCTGCAACTTCGTTATAGGCCTCTCCTTTTTAGGGTTTGTGAAGGTGGTGGGTGTGGCGGCGGCGTACGTGGGGTTTGCGGCGGTGTGCTTTGTCGGGGTGGTGTTTGTGCGCGCGTGCGTGGTGGAGACCAAGGGGCGGAGCTTGGAGGAGATTGAGAGGGAGCTGATTGGCAGTGATGCATAGAGGCATTTTGGCTCGCCTGGGAAAACGGGTGTCATGACTTAAGAGCTGGGTCGGCTGGGTTTTTTGCGCATATGCTTGGTGGAGACCAAGTGCTGGTGCATGACTCATCAATGTGTTGAGCTGTCATGTCATGTCATGTCATGTCATGTCATGTCATGTCATGTCAGGCTTAGTGGCATGGCCAGGAGTGATGCTACGCTAGGCTGGTTGAAGTACCGAATTTTGTTGAGTTAGCCAAATGGGGGAAAATGTGTTGCTGATTCGTTTATTTGATGACTCAGCTTGAAATGATTTGTTCTTTGAGAGTTTCTTGAGATAGAATTACTACTAATAAACTTTTTGATTGAGGGATGTAATTTTTTCATAATTGTTACTGTACTTTATCCGTGTTGAAATTACGTCGAAGTGTAGTCCAAATTTAGCGGTTCCGACTAGGCTCGTGTCAGCTGGTTCGGCCTACGTTTTCGCTCCGAATCACTTGCGAGTCGCCCTCCGCATCTTTCGCCATCCATCCGAGCCTCATTAACACCGAGGTTCTCGCCTAGCTCGAACCTGCCTATTTATGAAGCCTCGTAGGTCTCCCATTCAGCAGTCTTAAGTTGTATCCTGTAGTTTCTATTTCGAGTGCAAGTCAGCTCAGTTATTTGTATCGGTTGGTGTCCATTCATCTCTGCGCTCCTAATATCGATTCTGCGCCGCGGTTCACGCCAGCACACGCACATCCCGTTCCTCTCGCGCGCGCTCTGCTGCCTTTCGCAGCCGTGTCACACTTGCCGCGCTACGCCCACCGGCTTTCCTCCCTTCCGCGCCCGTGCGGCCGCTCCTCGCACTCTTCTTTTACCTCTCCCTCCTCCGTCCCGCGGCGTGCGTTATACCCCGTACGCCGCCATGACTGCGCGATCGAAGCTCGGCGCGCTGTGCCGCCCGCTACTAGCAAGCTCGTCGAGTCGTCTACTCCCCGCGAGTGCCGCCCTGGCCCCGGCTCTAACCGGTGATGTTGTAAGCGCGGTTAGCAAATCCACTTGTAGCGGACGAGCTCATAGCGGAGATGGCTACGAAAGCGCTATTCAAGATGCGCCGGTACGCAATTCAAGATGCGTACCGGTGCACCAGCCGTTTGAGAGGAATGACAGCGCTCGATGTCGCCACTCCGTCTCCCACTCGCACTCCCACTCGCACTCGCACCACCTCGACCTCTCCCACCACCACCACCAGCACCAGCAACAGCGACGGGGGCTGGCGGCCGTAGCATCTAGAATCAACCTAGCAGCCGCGCCGTCCGCAGTTGCGCAGGCAGCTGCGCGTTCCGCCAATGCGCGGGCAGCCGCGCCTTCCGCCATTGCGCGGGCAGCAGCAGCGGAGCCGTCTAACTTCAACGTGCTGGAAGGCGCGGCGGAGAGCAGCGGACGCGTGTTCATCACCGCGTGAGTGCCGCTCCCCCCGCTCTCTCCCCCGCGCTCTCGCCCACTCTCTCCCCCTCACGGTCTTACCCCATCACCGTTGGAGTCGCTCGTCCCCGCCACTCCTCCTCCCTCCCTCCCTCCCTCCCTCCCTCCCTCCCTCCCTCCCTCCCTCCCTCCCTCCCTCCCTCCCTCCCTTTCTCCCTCCCTCCCTCCCTTCCCCCCGTCCTACCTCCCTTTCCCTTACACTTTTCACTCGAGTAACCTATTCCGTCTGTTCCGCTCCCCATGCACCGCCACCCCACTACCCCCTTGCAGGTACAACGAAAAGGATTTTACGGTGGGCGGCAGGGACCTGGACTGGCCTTGTGGCTCACACATATCCTGTCCTTCCATGCACCCATTGCACCCACTGCATCCCCTTCACCCCCTGCACCCACTGCACATGCCCGCTGCAGGTACGACGACAAGGGATTCAGGGTGGGTGGCAGGGACCTGTACTCGCCTGGTGGTACTCGCCCGAGGAAGAGGAAGAACTTGGACGCCACGTGCTGATCCCATCCTTCCCTGCACCAATACTCCGCTCCTCACACCACCTCTGCTCCTGTCGCTCGCAGGTACGACGACAAGGGCTTCACAATGGGCGGCAGCAGAGCAGGGACCTGGACTCGCCTGGTGTCTTGTGATGATCCCATCCTTCCATTCACCCCTACTCCCCTGCACTCACTGCACATGCCCGCTGCAGGTACGACGACAAGGGCTTCACGGTGGGCGGCAGGGACGTGGACTTTTCCATCCTCTGTGTGGGTGACGTGGCACTCTGCTGGTCGCCCTCCTGCCTTGCTGACGTCACACCCGACAGGTGAGGGGAGAGGGACGTCACTCCATCCATCCATCCATCCATCCATCCATCCATCCATCCATCCATCCATCCATCCATCCATCCATCCATCCATCCATCCATCCATCCATCCATCCATCCATCCATCCATCCATCCATCCATCCATCCATCCATCCATCCATCCATCCATCCATCCATCCATCCATCCATCCATCCATCACTGCTGCTATCTCGGTCTCATACGCCAAACCAGCTGCGGGCTCTCTGCCCAAGCCTTCTGCGCTTCCACCATTTGCCCTCCCCTTCTGACGCACGCATTCTTGTTTCTCCTCCCGCCTTCGATCCTTCCACCTGCCCTCACCCACTTATTCATCCCCCCTCCTCCCGCCCTGCCTTTCTGTAACACAGCCTTGCACTCTAGCCCTTACCTTCGACTCCCTCTCCCATACTTCCTTACTCACCACCTCAATCAATGTCCGTGCCTGCCCCACTTCATCTCGCCCATTCCCCCTCCCTTTCTCCCCTTTTTGCGCCCCTACCTGCCCGCCGCACAGCCTGGCTCTCTTTCAGCTCATTCGCCCGCAACCAGGTGTGCTTCCTCTCGCTGCTGCACTGCTGCTTGCGTTGCATGTCACTCGCACTGCTGCTTTAGACTTGCTTGCATCTCCTGCCTTCCTCTCCTCCCTGCTTCCCACCTGCACCTCCTGCCCATTAATCTCCCCTCCTCTCTCCTTCTCTCCCCTCCTCTCTCCCTCTCTCCCCTCCTCTCCTCTCCTCACTTCGTGCCGTTTTCTCTCCTCTCCCCCATTCCGACCGCTCCTCTCGCTGTGCAGAGCTGTTGCTGCTGGGCACGGGGCAGCGCATGCAGGCAGTGCCGGGGGAGCTGAGGCACTTCGTGAGGGCGTGTGGGATGAAGCTCGAAGTGCTCTCCACTGTGAGTGCTGTGTGCCCCGTGAGTGCTCTATGTATGTCCGGTGAATGCCTGTGGTACAGCTGATGATGCTGGTAGCACTGAAGGTGCTGCTGGTGCTGTCAGTGCAGTGCCGGGGCAGCTGCGGGAGTTTGTGAGGGCATGTGGCATGAAGCTCCAAGTGCTCTCCACTGTGAGTGCTGTGGGCCTCAGTACTCAACTGTGAGCATCCTCAAGGTCACTTGCAGTACACCTGGTATGTTTTCCCCACAATCAAAACAGGTGTTTTCCCACAGCCCTCCTATTTGCGCCCCTCAAAGCACCATGTCCTATCCAGCAAACCCCCCTCTCCCTTCCTTCCTCCCAACCCCATCAGTGCCTGCACCATGCCGTTCCCCTCATCATTTACTGCACCATGCCATGCCTCCCATCATTTCTGCACCATGCCATTCCCCCCATCATTTACTGCACCATGCCATTCCTCCCATCAATTCTGCACCATGCCATTCCCCCCATCATTTACTGCACCATGCCATTCCTCCCATCATTTCTGCCCCATGCCATTCCCCCCATCATTTCCTGCACCATGCCATCCCCCCCCCCTCCCCTTAACCCCCTCCAGCGCCACGCCATAGCCACACTCAACGTGCTCAACGAGGAGGGCCGGTCCGTTGCTGCCGCGCTGCTTCTGCCCTCCGCCTGATGCCCGCTTCCTCTGCACCAATACCACACCCTCCATATGATGTGTGATCAGTATGCTGCTGGCATCACAGTGATTTGCATGATATGAAGTGTTGTTTTAAATGCAGTGATGCCAACACACGTAGTGGTAGATTGAATACAGAGATGCGTGTTTCCATTACAGAAACAACCCCTGCAGAATAATTTGTAACAAAGCAAGTTAGTGAGTGGGTACATCCATGACTGAAAAATGACTCATGTAAGGATGAAACAGGACCACAGTGAAACCATGTAAACAGATAACCTACATATTATGAACCGTGAGGGAAGGTTGTGCGGCGGCTGCCTATGCGTATGCTACCTTGTCCGAATTCTCATCCATTCCGTAATGTGCCTGGTTGAACCTAACAAACGGGTCACGAGTACAAATAATGCAGACCTCGCGGCAAATACCAGAAGCATCCCTTTCACTGGTATTGCAGCACGTACACCTGGTCCTCCCCAGCACAGTACCCCTCCACCAGCTTCCAATTCACACTGTGCATCTTCTCCCTCAAATTCTTGGCCCGCATCTCCCACACCTCTTCATCCCACACCCCACTCTTGGCCCGCCTCACATGCTCCAACGGCGCATTGCTCACCGTCTTGCCTTTCCTCTCCCAGTAGAAGGAGCGGTCCACCACACAGTAGAGCGCCAGGGCGGGGTAGTCCTGCCGCAGTGCAGCCAGTGTGGGCGCATTACACGCCTTGCGGGTGGGGAAGAAGAGGAACCGCAGATTCGGAGCGCGGATGGACGGCGGCTTGAAGACGGCCTTCATCAACCGCTCCTGGCCTGCTCTGAACAGCGTGAATCTCGATCGAACATAGCTGTCAGACTCCCGCCATGCTCGAGCTGGAGATCCCAAGGGTGGAAAGGTGAGATCAGGAGTTCCTGTACGCGATAGAAAGTTGAGAAGTTCGCTCTCAGAACAAATTTTGATTGATTGTTTTGTTCGTAAGTTTTAATCTACAGTAGTCTGCAAGGTATTTATATCGCTAACATCAAAACCATACTCATTCATGAAACAGGGCATAAATGAAATCATGAAGATTAACACCGGTAACATATCATATCATGAACCATGTGCATGCTACCATGTCCAAAACCTCACCCAATAACGCGCTACCAAATTTATTGGCAGGCAGCGAATAATCCTGGCAGGCAGCAAGTATTCCTTTCTACTGGTACTGCAGCACGTATGCCTGGTCCTCCCCAGCACTGTACCCCTCCACCAGCTTCCTGTTCACACTGTGCATCTTCTCCCTCACTTTCTTGGGCCGCTTCTCCCCCTCCTCTTCATCCCACACCCCACTTTTGGCCCGCCTCACATGCTCCAGCGGCCCATTGCTCAAAGGCACCCCTTTCCTCTCCCAGTAGAAGGAGCGGTCCACCACACAGTAGAGCGCCAGGGCGGGGTAGTCCTGCTGCAGTGCAGCCAGTGTGGGCGCATTACACGCCTTGCGGGTGGGGAAGAAGAGGAACCGCAGATTCGGAGCGCGGATGGACGGCGGCTTGAAGACGGCCTTCATCAACCGCTCCCGTTCCCTTATCTTGGCGTCTATGGCTGGACCATACATTTTCCAAAACTTTCGGTCATAGTCATCACCACCAAAACCACCAACGCCATAAACACCACCATATTCATCATCATCATCATCAGCATCATCATCACCACCATCACCATCATCAGCATCATCCTCATCATCAGCAGCATCATCAAACAAATAGTCATCCTCATCCACTTCCTCATCCGGCTCTTCGCTAAAATAACCCGGGTCATCTTCCCAAGAAAACCGCAACCTGCCATCGTCTAAATGCTCCTCACACTCACCACCATCTGTGTCCATTCCGCAAGCAAGTGAGGTCCAGCAGGCACAAGGCCTAGAAGAGTACAGAAGCGCTGATGGTCACAAGGCTGAAGCGCCTTGGTGAACACATCAGCAGTGTTGGCCTCAGTGGCCACGTAACGCAGACGAAGCTGACCGCGCTGCTGCAGCTCTCGAGCAAGGAAGTACCGCAGGGCGATGTGCTTCGTTCTGTGCTCCAGTCTGTGCTCCTCACACAAGGCAATGGCAGCCTTGTTGTCGACGTACAGCACTGGAGGAGAACGAGGCCGCTCTCCCAAGTCGGTCAGCAGGTAGGTCAGCCAGCGTAGCTCCTGGGCCGCCATGGCTGTGGCGTAGATCTCAGCCTCACAACTGGAGCTGAGAACAGAAGAAGAGCGTGTAGAACGCCAAGAAACTGAGCCAGAGCCAAGACTGAAGGTGTAACCCTGAGACGACCGCTGAGTAGCCTGGTTGTCCGCCCAAGAAGCGTCTGAGTGACCAGTAAGTACAACTCTGTCTCGCCCTCCAAGCACTAGCCCCATGCCTGACGTACTGCACAAGTAGCGCAACACCCTCTTAGCGGCATCCATGTGCTCCTTCCGGTGACGGCCAGGAGCGACATAGCGTGCAAGGATGCTAAGAGGGTATGCAAGGTCAGGTCGAGTGCAGGTCATCAGGTACATGAGGCAGCCCACAAGCTCTGGATACGGGCCACTCGGCTCTACGGACTTATCCGAAGGCTGAGCTGGGAGCGAGTGACCGGTAGGCAGAGGAGTGGACTGAGGCGAGGAGTACGTGAAGCGGAAGCGCTGAAGGACCTGCTGCACCATGTGTGACTGAGTCAAGGTGATGGTGCGCCGTGCTCTGTCCCGGGTGATCCGCAAGCCAAGATAGCTTGTCAGTTCACCCAGGTCTGTGCACGTGTGTCTCTTCTGCAGCTCCGACTTCACGTGGGCGAGTGCCGCAGTGTCAGCAATGGCAAAGACCAAGTCGTCGACGTACACGAGGATGTAGAACGGCGGCAGCGAGGTGTCGGTGCGTAGAAACAGCGACGGGTCAGCAGTAGAAGGAGTGAACCCAAGAGCCGCAAGTGTAGTCCTCAGTGTGTCGTGCCACTCACGCGGCGCCTGGCGGAGACCGTAGACCGGCCGCTGGAGCCTCCACTGGGTACCAGGAGGAACCGACCCAGTGAAGCCAGGAGGGCGGCGCAGCCAGATCTCCTCGTGCAGGCTGCCTTGCAAGAAAGCAGTGCTGAAGTCAAGTGAGTGAAGCTCGTAGTCGCGCTGAGCGGCTATGTGCAGCAGCACCCGAAGAGTGGTCATCTTTGGGGTGGGGGAGAAGGTCTGGAAGAAGTCTACTCCCTCTCGCTGACTGAAGCCTCGAGCAACGTAGCGCGCCTTGAAGACAGGAGGAGAACCCGGCGGCCGCTTCACCCTGAAAATCCACATGCCACTGACGATGTTCGCCCCAGGTGGGGGAACCTCGTCGACGTAGGTGCCTGTGGACTTCCAGGAAGCCATCTCTGCGTCCATGGCTGTCTGCCACTGAGAGGAGTAGGGACCCGCCATCGCCTCTGCGTAAGAGCGCGGGGTCGGGATGTCTGGTGCATCCGGGTCTCCCTCAGGGGCAACTAGCATGGACACGAGATGGGGCAAAGCAGCAGCAAAGCATTGGAACTCCTCCTGTCTGTCCTCAAGGACGTCCGTGCCAAGAGCACACTCACCCCCGACGGACGGAGGACAGGCAGGCTCAGACTCAGCAACAAGGCTAGCGGCGTAGTCTAAGCGACACCGAGCAGCAAAGTCAACCAACTCAGCGACCAGAGCAGACGCAGTAGAGGACTCAAACGACGGGTCAGTGACAACAGTGGCGAGGAGACGCGTGACAGTGGGACTGGCAGCACGACGGGAGTCAGACTCCGGGTCAGGAAGAGTAGGTAGAGAGGACGCAGGAGGAGACGGCAGAGGGACACGCTGAGGAGCAGTGGAGGGACGCAGAGTCATGTAGTGAGTGCCAGGGACAGGAGAAGGACGCTCACGTGGGACACGACGACCAGTGCGAGCAGTACGAACAGGCGACGCAGGACGAGACTCAGGCTCACGACGCTCCGTAAGACCTCCTGTGGGACCAGTGTAAGGGGAGGGACCAGGGAGAGGCGAGGCAGGCGGTAACTGTGACTGCGACTGGACAGGCGGAGGACACTCTAAGGAGGAAGGAGGACAAGGAGGAGGAGTCTGACCAAGAACCTGCTGAAGGAGCGGTACGAAGTAAGGTCGCGGCCGCGCAGCGTCTCCAGAACCAGTAGAGACACCAGCGGTAGGGTCCTCACTACCAGCAGTAGCTCCAACGTCGGGTCCTCAGTACCAGCAGCAGCTCCAACGTCGGGGTCCGCAGCACCAGCAGCAGCTCCACCGCCCGGGTTCTCAGCACCAGCAGCAGCTCCACCGCCCGGGTCCTCAGCACCAGCAGGAGCTCCAACGCCCGGGTCCTCAGCACGAGCAGCAGCTCCAACGCCCGGGTCCTCAGCACCAGCAGCAGCTCCAACGCCCGGGTTCTAGCACCAGCAGTAGCACCAACGCCAGGCTCCTCAGCACCAGTAGCACCTGCAGTACCAGGGTCCGCAACACCAGGAGCGCCACTCCGAAGACTGCAGCGCCGCGTGTACCACTCTCGGATCCGCTGAAGGGAGGGGAGCTCCCGGGTAGGAGGGGAAGCACTGGTACCAGCTCCAGCAGCACCTCTCCTGAGGCTGCAGTACTGTAGGTACCTCTCCTGCAGCTGCTGTGAGGAGAGGGCACCTCGAGGTGTAGCACTCCCAGGCTCAGTACCGCTAGACTCAGCACCCCCAGACTCAGCACCCCAAGGCTCCGCACCAGGGCCTATGTTATCAGGGCAATTACCCTGTTTTGACTGAAATTATGAGGTGATTTTTAGAGCAGCCCTGATTTTCACAAGGTGATTTTCGGACCAGCCCGTAAACCTGAAGGGCGATGTTTGAGCCCACTCGGATCACTCCGGGATGTTTTCGAGGGGACCCGGAAAGTTTTAGCAACACTTATAGTCCCCGACCTGCTTCGCATCCCCTCCCTCTCCCCGTGTACAACGCATAGCCCACTTTCAGTGAATTATCCTTGGCATTTGCTTCTGGTTTGGCCTTCAGGTGTTTGATTTCCGGTACTGCGTTGACATGGCTATAAGTACTCCTTCACATATAGAAATTTCTAAGTCTACAGAAAGTCTCTCTCCCCCCCTCTAGTGCCGCTCTTAAATCTCCAACCTTCCCAGCCTTCGTGCCACCCACTGTGAGTTTCACGATCATTTCCCCATCCCGCGAGATTCTGGTAAGGTAGGTTTTCAGGCCTTTTCTGGCACGAACCCGGATTCGTGAAGGTTTTTTTTCTGCTGGCTTGTATGTTACAGGGTCTTTTTCACAGGGGCCCGGATCGTCCGAGCTAGCAAAAATCCTAGCAATAGCCCTGCTCCGCACCCCCAGGCTCAGCACCCCCAGGCTCAGCACCCCCAGGCTCCGCACCCCCAGGCTCAGCACCTCCAGGCTCAGTGCTCCCAGGCTCCGCACCCCCCAGACTCAGCACTGCCAGGCTCCGCACGCTCAGGCTCAGCACCCCTAGCAGGACGAGAGTCGACAGCTACCTCGACAGGCTCAACCGGGTCTACCTGGGACACACCTGAGGGAGCGGCACCCTGAGGGGGGAGGGGGTCTACCACAGCAGCACCTGGCGCGAGGAAGAGAGGCGGGGGGGGGGAGCGGGGCAGTGTGGTAGGGGAAGAGGCGGTAGTAGGGGACGGACTCGTCAAAAGTGACGTCCTGAGAAGGCAGAACCCGGCGCGAGGTGACGTGGTAAAACTGCCAACCAGGCGCGTCCGGGACAAAGCCAAGAAAGACACAAGGAACAGCGCGAGAGGAGAGCTTGTCCGCGGACGTATCACGAACAAAAGCTCGGGATCCCCAGACCCGAAAACGCGACGCATCGCCAACCACTCTCGTCCAACGCAGTGTCGGGGAAGTCTCCGGCAAGGAGACACGGGGCCAGAGGTTGAGCTGATGCGCAGCGTATCGGACCGCAAACGGCCACAGAAAGTGGGGAGCAGCCGCATGGATCAGGGAGGTACGAGCGACCTCCATGACCAAGCCAATGCGACGCTCAGCAACCCCATTCTGCTGTGGAGAGGCCGGAAGCGTGAACGACTGCTCAATGCCCTCCTGCTGACAGAAGGCCTCCAAGAAGGTCGGAGGAAAACTCCCCACCTCTGTCAGAGTGCAAACGCAGGACAGGAAAGTCCGAGCGGAAACGCTCGCTGAGCTGGAGACGAGCTCTGCGGATCCAAGGGATCAAGACATCAGGGACCTCACCCTTGGTGCGCAAGGGGAAGACCGTGGTGTAGTGCGAGTTGTCGTCAACAACAATCAGGAAGTACCTCTCCTGACCCTGTCCACGGACGCGGGCTGGGCCCCACACGTCCAGGTGGAGCGTCTGCAAGGGAGCAGTCGTGGGGGGAAAGGAGGAGGAGTGAGGAGCGGCGTGCTGCCGCCCCTCGACACAGGGAAGACAGGGAGGAGCAGGCGAGGGTGGGAGGGGAGGGAGAACCCTGGGAAGACCAGAAACAAGGTACCGTTTGTGCATGGCACGAAGGCGCTGCACAGACGGGTGACCAAGTCGGTGGTGCCAAAGGACGGTCTCGTGCGCCAGAGAGCGACACGAGCAGGGGGCCGACAGCTGACCTGACGCAGACGCCGACGCAGCAACCTGAGAGGACTCAGTGGTCAGTGTGTACAGGTCCGACCCCGGCTGCCGAGTGAAGGTAGCCAGGTGACGGCCCGTCCGCGCACACGTGCAGTGTGTCACGCGCTCGTAGGCAGGGGTGAACTGGTGAACACCCGCGTCCTGGAGCGCACAACCCGCCACCAAGTTCGTAGAGAACGAGGGGAGGTGGAGACCTGACAGTGTGCCCGACGGGACCGCAGGACAGGGAAGAACAGTGGAGGAGGTCGCAATGACCGG